GTCTCCGCCACAATGTGGGTGTTGCAAGGAACCAGAAAAGAGGAGAGGATGCAACGCAACGGACACAACTCCAGATTGAAACTCCAATCCCAAATGTGGCAACTCCCCTGTTACGCATAAACTGCTCACTACATACAATGAGCCACGTTCTATTATAAGGAGACGTGCAACAGATTGCAAGACGTGATCTCCCGGACCCTCTAGCATGCCACAGCAGCATGAAGTGCACGTGTGAGCGAGGGTGATCACGTCGAGGAGTGCGACATGGAGTGAGTTGGCTTGTCGAGCGAGTGCACACAAACTCCATGTGTTGATTCCCATGACCCACTCAGGGGCTAGCAAACATCATGAGCTTGTCGTTGCTTGCTTAAAATGCACATCAGTGATGCACTTTTAGCCGAGACGCGACAACAAGCATCATTTGCCAGTCCCTGAGCGGGTCTGGTTATTAATGGGAGCAGTTTTGTGTGAGGGGCAGCTCGACCGACTCGGGCGGAGTCAGTGATTTGGCCATTTATGTGGGTCAGCCGGAGTGCATGTGCCCATGCACATGTCGTTAATAATAATAAAACAACTGCAGAAATAAACTATGTAGTGACACCTGTGTATACAATCAAAAGTACACTGCAGTTTACTCTTCCACCACCTCTTTGTCTGCCTCAAGCTCATCTCCTTGGCGTGTAAAAGTAGCTACATCAAATCCTGGCTTTAAACACAGGAAAAATGTCCATTTGGTTCACCTGTGCTCGGAATAACAGGGAAATGAGGCACCATGCCCACAAGATGCGTGATCTGGGTGACACTAATAACAGTGGCAGATTCATCTCCCAGATGTCTGCTCGTCCACCATGCGCGTTCAGATAATTTCATCAGATCGGGATTGGGATCTGAGTATCTCCAGATGATTGCAATGGACCTGATTTCATCAGGCGCGGTTGGGTGATTGGAAGGTAGGCAAACTTGTGTATAGTACATCACCTCGCCAATGCATGTCATGCCGTCTGATTCATACTGATTAACATGAGTGTTAGTAGCGCAACATGGAAAGCAATCAAATAATCTGATAAGTCACTGACCTTGACGTCACAAGCAATGCGAACATTAGCTTGGCATGCAATGTTCTCGCGCCAGGCACATTGTGTTACTGTACCATCAGGAAGCTGGAGTCGAGCCCAATGTCGAATCTTGTGAGGCTCCCATCCCATGTAAGCTATAAGCGCAACTCGTGCTGAATCCACAGGAGCAACCTCGTAACGGTCACGGGCATGTAAGAGAAAGTATTCATGTCCGACGTCCTTGGCAAGCCCAGAGGGTGGTTTTGGTGGATCAAGATCGGGCATGAGACTCATGATAGCATTCTTGGTACAGCGACAAATGCCAATGCGAGACAGATTCTTGTACATCTGCGAGGGTTGCCAGATTTCTTGTCCAAGGTTGCCTATTGTTTGTTCCATTGTCCACTGGGCATAGCATATGGGCGGACCTTTTCTGATTGTCTCATCAACTAGATGTAAGACTTGATGAATGCTGTGTCGGACAAAATGCAGTCGATCTTCACATTTGGCATAGTAGAGCTTCTCGTAGCCTTCATACTATGACGTGAGACAATGATGCGCCTCAATCAGTTCATCCGGTGTGATTGAGTGTTGACTGAGATTTTGAAAGCCACCAACCAGCTTGCAGAAGTGAGCCCAATACTCAGTAGGAAGCACAACAAGGAGCAGACCGACACAGACAAAAGAACCAGATCTGGTACTCGCAGGTTCAGTACCCAGAATTGCTGTACTGCTGGATATTTTGCGGCCTATGATCAAACTTCTCCAGCAGGTGGAAGCCTGCAGCCTCAACATTCTTGTCGTGAGCAGCTCAGATTGTGCCATCCATCAAGACTGCAAAATCCCAGGTAGTGGGATTGTTGTGGAGCAAATGCTCCATATTGCCTCGCCAGAGATCAATGTGCAAGGTTGCAAGAAGGCCGGCTAAGTGCATCTGGTTGGGAGTGAGGCACCGGGGTACTTGGAGTGTGTATCTAGGCTGGAGACCTAGCAGGATACTTGGCTTTGTTAAGCCAGTGTCTCGATGAGCATCTTTGTAAGCCGTTTCGGATCTAGCCTGTATGATGATCTTGAGATTCTCGTAGTAGTCAGTTGATGCTGCGGGAGGGATGCGGTGTACAGATATGTCATCATGATCGCACCTGGCAACACTATAGCTGCCAGGCCTGCGTGGCTTGATCAGAGCAGGATAATAATGTGTCTGTCCCATGAGCCTTGCGTCGCCCACAAACACCACAGTACAGGCGGCAGCCATTCTTTCCACAGTGGCCACACATCCTGTTGAAATAAACAAGTCCGGGCCCGTCTGCCGTTGCCAGATAGTGGTAGATCCATGCAAGGTACTGGTGTTGCTGCCACATGTTCCAGATCTGTAGTCCTTCCCACTGAAGAGCAGAGACATGGTGATATCCTGGGAACAAGAACGAGTCGACATTTTTTGGCTTCTTAGGCCCCGGGATAAATCTGCCAGGAAAGATGTACTGCTTCTTGTACCGTTTGTCTGGTGAGTACTTGAGAATAACCCACACATACAGCCAGCAGTCAGATTCCCGAGAAGAATAGAGCTGAGCACCATCGAGAGAGATCATGACAATGATGTCATTGTCAGTGATATCACCATTCCAAACAGCCTCGAGATAATCTGAGCCAGAGACGAAGTCGTCATAGACAGGGATACAGCCGTTTGCCAGAGCTTCTTCAATGATCTGCTGAGTCCGTCTCACATGATAGTTGAGGTCTTCAACGCTTTTAGAGTCCCCATAGAGCACCTGGAGCAGAGGACCTAGCAGAATTGTATGGAATTGTCGAGAGACACGCTGACCCGTTTTCCTAAGTATTCGCTGATCATATTGATGCCTCCTGCATTGAGTGCAGCGCATGTCGTTTTTGAATGGACCTGTGAACGCGAGACAGGTGTCCCAGCACATATCATGCTTAATCGAGTAGATACCAGTCAGCTTGGCCATGAGCTTCTCAACGCCGTCATAGTGAAGAAGGTCCTTGGCACTGTCGCCCCATGTCAAATTTTTGGAGGAGCGGACCGCTTCAAAGGCTGCGCGAGATGAATGTTTGAGGGCAAAGAATGTGCGTATACTGTGCTTTTCCAGTGGACTCAGAGCAGGTGCTGGTTCGTGTGGTGGGTTTCTGAGTCAACCGCAAACCTCGGCCGATAACTTTGCCACAGGATCATCAAGACTTGCATCGCATATTCAGTGTATATAGCTGCATGAGTTCTGAGCTTTGTGGTTCTTCAACAGCTGAGATAGCTCGTTGATGTCTATCACGGGAAATGTACGTCTCTGCTGGAGCTCGACCTCCTCTTCCTCCTAGTGTAGACTATTAGTGCATGTATAATTGATTTAAAAGCTGAGCATATTACCTCTTCTTCCTCTTGTTCTGACGGACGTGGAGTGTTGTCTTGTACCTGCTCATCATGATGCTGATCATTGCCAAGTTCATCTTCGTCCTCATCATTGTCACTGACCCTAGCACGTTTGGGTGAGCTAGATCAGTTTCCCTCGTCATCAGAAGACGTAGATCGTGTAAACTTGCCTAGAAGGCCAGAAGGACCTGCCACCAGGTTGGGATCAGAGCGTCCCACACGAGAAGAGCTAGCGCCAGCCGCATTCTGAGTGGTTTCCTCAAAGCCCAGGTCAACAAAGATCTTCCGGAGGAGGTTAGCATCTCCTTTGCTGCCTACACGAATGTAAGCTCATTCCTGGGGCATCTTTGCTAGCTGAAGATGATGTTGAAAGGTCCTCCTGGAGACGTTGTGGATTTTACCACCATAGAAGTGCTTGCATACACAGTCAATGTGTTTGACTGTGATGTCAGTGCACTGAGTAGTGGTCCGGTCTGCCCAGAAATGGACCAAGAACAGAGCAGGAGAGCGTATACAAGATGGGCAAGAGGGACTTAGAGAAAATTGTAAGTGTGCATCTCCCTGTGTGACGCTAACAGCTACTTATGACATTGGAATGCTTATCCACTCTATTTCTGGTGACATGCAGGACCATGCGGCTACATAGGTCTCAAATGGTATGTATTTGACTCGCATTCAGAGACAGCTCACAACATACAGGTCTTTCTATTTACGGTAACTCCTGGCATGTCACATCCCAGCCCCGCTCCCGACAGCGCAGGTTTCCACTGGGTTTGATTCCCGGTCAGACCAGACTTTGCGTATATAACAGGCTGGAGCATCCCCTACCAGTCACCCAACCCCTACAGTGAGGCAGCCACCAGGACATGGTCGGTCAACCGCTGGTCACCACTGCCCGGACATCCTTAGGGTTTGATCCATCCACTGACTGGACATCCTCGGGGGTCATGTCCTGCACCATGTGCTGTTAAGGGGTGGTACAAACCTATTGGCTTGGTTATTGGTCTTGGACATCAGAATGTGTATGGAATTATGATGTCAGAGAGTGAAGGATAATGATTGTATAGATGTAATCACAAGATGTGGTTGGATTCTCTAGCATACACTGCATCATTGCAAGATAAAAACAGACTTATTATTTGAAAGATATCAAAAAGATATTTTAAATGGGGATTATCTGGGCTCAAGTAAATAACTTGTTTTTATTTAAAAGTGTTATCAAAAATGCCCCTGCTAGCTCTCAAGCAACAACAGCCTCAGATATTTGAAATGTTATCAAAAAGATTATCAGGAACCACCCTATTGGCTTTCAAATAACCGGAGCCTGAAATACCTGAAAGATTACTTAAGCAGTTATTGTAAAGCTGCTTATGGATAACAATCTTCATAACCCTGCCAAGATTATTGTGAAATTATTGAAGATGTGCTGGGATGTCAGTTACAAATAATCTT